GAACTTAAAGCAAAAAGGTAATGGTTTAGAGTATTTCCTCCTTTGTGTACACTTATTTTGGGTACCTACTAACGGACAACGATTCAGTATGTCTATACCTAGGGTGAACGTTCTACGGTCCACTATATGTATGGTTTTGGCTCTAACAAGAAAAGGATACTTGAATTGTCCTTGATGTGGTGCCCCCTTGAGCTGCCATACCCTCGATCCTCACCCATTACAGGTTTCAAACAGAACGAGTTCAATTCGAGGGGATTCACTATCTTATACTCATACGAGGAATAAATCCCTACGAAGTATAATGTATGTATCCCATGAGTTATTTGCTAAAACTCATACGAAGAATAAATTCTTACGAGAGTAAAGCATTCACCCCGACTTAATTGGAACGAAGCTCGTGTCTAGAGCTCATGTTATGCAAATGCATGTGATGTGTGTGAAGAGGAACGTACCTACCTTTGAATTAAAAGGAAAAGAAAAAACTCGATAAAAACTTGGACAAATCTGAAAGCAAAAATTCAAATGTTAGTATGACAAAAAATGAAGCAATTAAAAACTTCAATAAACATATCATAAGTTAACTAAAGGCTCGAACTCATAATTTCCACCACAACGACAATGTGTAAGCGACCTACAACTTGACTCTCTAATAAAAGTCCCCAGCAGAGTCGCCAAGCTGTCATAACATTTTTTTCGTAAAACAATTAAATATTATTTTAAAAACAATTCTGACTTTAATTTGAAAATTGGGTGATTTTGGAATTGGTTTGAATTAAATAGGAAGGAAGTCGACATCGACCTTTAGGTTAGGTAGGTCGAATACCTAAAAACATCTTTTAAAACAATTTTAAGAAAAACCATTTTATAAGACAAAAATTGGTCTGCATATCCAAAGATTCGATTTGAAGGGTCCGGGAGTCGATTATGCGTGAGGAAGAATTAGCACCCCACAACGCCCAAAATTGGTACTATGTCGCTTACACGTTGTTGTAATTGGTGGAAAGTATAAATCGAATATAAAATTAAAATATGATCCATTTATCGAACATTGATTTATTTGCTTTAGATTAATTAATTAGAGAAAATTCCTTAACTCGAAAAGAAATCTCGAAGTTAGCAATCCTCTTTCGGGAAAACTAACACGACTATTTCTTTTCAGTAAGAGAATATTCCCTCCTCATTGATTTAAAAAAACAAGAATCGTATATAAAATGAAAATCGATCTTTGCATAAAATAAATCGCTATTTAGTAACATGCATTGCATTGTTCAACTTAAAATAAAAATGAATTAATTTGCAAAATAAAATCGATTTATTTCAAGTTCACATTTTGTTCGAATGTCGTATCAGATCGCATTACCTCGATCAAGCAGTGTTTTCCACGCCCGTTCTACAAAATCAATGTTCTCGAAAATGTTCGAATAAATAATCTTAACAAGCAAAGATATTTTATTAAATAATATAATACGTAAAATACATACACGTACACATATACACATTTGAAAAAATTAATATACAAATATGGAAACAATATGTAAAATAATACACACATACATATGAAGGACCCATAAAGCATAAATGGATTAGCTAGACAAACAAGGATTAAAACAACATAAGTCACTAATAACGGGTTCAAAACAAAGAACTAAAAAACATTAGTGGCTAAAATGAAGTAATACAAAGATCAATGACTAAATTTAAATAAGGGACATCTCAAATGCTGATCAAATCAGAACAAATTAGAAACAAGGTATTCGAAACAAAGAAAATATTAAAATGAAACACCCAGTGATGAAAACACAATAGAACAACAAAGGTTGGGCAACCTGGAACATAAATCACCATTTTCATACCACAAGACAAAAGACTAGAATGGAATACAGTGAAAACAAGTAGGCATAATTTGATATTTTACATACAATAAAGATAAATGACTAAAATGAATATTAGATAAATTAAGTGTAAATAATCAAAAGTTAGTAGGAATTTGATACAATGGAGTAATGACTAAAATATAATAAAGCATAAATAGAAGGAACAAAATAAAAGAAATTAAAACTTCATTAATAACTAAAAAAACACGTTACAAAATAACAGAGACTTAAACATATATTTACCCTTTTTGCAAAAACACATAGACCCTCCCCTTAGTGAAACGGCGTCGCATGGTGGCTGGGATATAATCCCTTTTTGGGGTTATTTTAAAACCCTAATTCATTTTCCTAAACCCCCTTTCAACTGCTCATCTCATTTGCTATCTCTCTCCCTCTTATTTCTTTTTACGAGAGGAAATGACAGCCCTCTATGCTGCCACCTATTAGGGTCAAACCATGACCCCAACAACCACACATCGATGGCCTTGAACCAATCCTTCAACTGAAGCCCCAACATTTCGAAGCTCAGAAGAGGGTTCCAAAAGGTAAACTCTCTCGTTCTCTTATGTTTCTTTTTTTTACTCAAAACCCTCTTTTTTAGAACCGCTCTGGCTTTTTTCTTTTTTTGAATCCCCTATATTCTCTCTTCGGTTTCCACCTTTGGTCTTTTTTTATTTTCTAATCTCCCTTTTTCATAATGGATGCATGTTGGATTTTAAGGGTTCTTTCGGTGATAATGATGTAGTCTATGGGGTAGGGATATGGGTTTTTTATTTTGGGTAGATTGAATCCTGAAAAAATTGGGATTTAGGTACTTAAAAATAGGGTTTCTTACTTGGCCACTATTCCCTCTGATTTGGGTGATAATTTGCACTGTGGATGACAATTCAATTACTCTTTGGCAGGTTTTGTATCCAACAGTGGTTCGGGAGTGTTCGGCGATGACTCACACGCCGGTTGGAGGAAGCGCGTACATCTCACGCACCGACGAACGGTTAAGATTCTGCTTATGGTGGCGGTTGGATGCTCTGTTTAGGGTTTAAAACCCTAACTGATTTGGGTATCATCTTGGGCCGGTTCAGGTCGAGGTACTGGGTCCTCGGGTCGGGTCTGGATCTTGTAATCTGCTTGCTTGTATGCACTGGGTCGGGTCTTGCTGGGTTCTGATGGGCTTGTGAATGGGCTCCAAGTGGGCTGTTGTAATTTTGGGCTTCATGGTCTGCACAAAAAAGTAATTAATTAAATTACCATAATAATAATTATAATAATTATAATAATAATATAAATAATATTTTTGTAGACCCGAACAAAAACGGGTGTCTACAGTTATTGTTGATATTTCGGTTGGGACATAGTCCAAACCCAAGATTCTTTTCACCGATTCTTCTAACAGTTCCGCCTATAAAAGAGTTCACCAATGAGTTAAGTGCATATCAGCTTTTCAACAAAAAAAAAGAGCGTTGGGGAGGGGAATGAACAGGAACAGGGTCCGTGTGCAGCAAGAAACTCAGTTTTAAGACCAATACAAGTCATTTACCTCTTCTTTCAATGTTTGAACTCGAGCTTTCAAAACTCTGTTTTCCACGGCTGCATCATTGAACTTTTGTCTAATGTGGTGAGATGCTTTCAATGCCATTGCTCCCCCGAGTCTTAGTTGAGCAATCTACATCAAGTAAGGGATTATAACTCAAAGGGGATGTAGAAAGACAAAAGGGTTTACTAACAAACAAAGCCACCTTGGTTTGGAGTTTAGCCATCTTCACAGTATGCTTTCTTCTTCTTCTTGTAGAGCGCCTCAACAAAGTAAAAGTTTTGAAGAAGTTGAATGGAAAATGTTTGAATGTCGAATGCATAGATGTCTTCATTGTGGGCAGCGGATGAAGAAGAAGTCGACTAAGAGGGGTTTCTTATTGATTTGGTTTGGCGGCTGTGTTTCGTGGTTTATATTTATATATACATACCATCTGTTCATTATGATACCAGTCATAAAGATTTGGACTCTGATTACTTTTGTCATTAATTTTTATTTTCTTCACTTTGGGGACATTAAATGCCCTAGCCACATCCCAATATTCTTTTATATCGGATGCTCCCTTTTCAAAAATTGTTTTAATGGAACCACCGTACTTTTTAATTTTCGAAAAAAATATATTCCTATTCTATTTATCTAGAAAGTAAGAGCATATGACACGAATTAAATGACTTCGATGGTAAAATAGTTGTTATTCTTTGAAGTCATGGGTTCAAGCACCATAAATATGAAAGGCATGAGTATTAAATATCAAATCGTTGAGTGTTATCTTTAAATATATATTATCTTATATTTACCCCAAATTAATAAAAGAAAGAGAATAAGAGTATACGTATTTGGCTATATTTCTATTAGAAAAATAATTAATCTATGCTTAGTGTTAAATTAAGTAAAATTTCTATTTTAAAAAAAACATTATTCCATATGTTAAACAAATTTGTAACTTCCAAGAAAAATTGCACGTTTAGAACTATTAAGTGAATATATATTTAAGAATAATTAATTTATGTATTCATACCAAGTAATATTATTAAGCTCGTACATATAAATCTTGGGATTTATTGAGGCGTTTGAATGATTCTCCGGATATTTCGTGGCCTGTGACAGGGGACTTTAACAAAATAATGTTTTCTTTTCAGAAAGAAAACGGTCTCCTTCGTAATGACCGTAACACCCCAATCTATGAGTTAAAATTTCATATTATATTTGTAGAAGTTGTCTAATTAAAATTTTGATTATCAAGGAATTTTGAGAAGTTTAAGGACTCTAAGTATAATTTTACTTTTATTTGAGTTTAGAGGACTCTAGAATTCACAGGAATTCTATCCATTATTTAGTGATGTGAATTTGTTTATTATATTATTTTATAATATGAAAAATGGAGATCACAAGTGGGGAGAGTTGTTCTTTATTTTATGATTTCAGCATAATAATGGTGGTGGTTGCATTAAAGTAAGAAGTTCATCTCAAAGCCATTATCTTCAAGCTCAAAATCCCCAAACAACTAACTTTTTGAGGTAAAAATATTTCATTGCTTGAGCGAAAATGTCGAACCTGGAATGTCGTATGTACGAAGCAAAGTATCCAAGGTGGATATGGCGGTGATGATACAAGTGAATAACATCGCCGATATGGGCGCCTACGTTTTGCTCCTTGAATACAACAACATCGAAGGCATGATCTTGTTCTCGGAGCTCTCTTGTCGTCGAATTCTTAGTGTCAGCAGTCTAATCAAGTTCGGCCGAATCGAGCTGGTGATGGTCCTCCACGTCGATAAGGAAAAGGGTTACATCGATTTGAGTAAGAGAAGGATTAGCGAGGAAGATATTCAGGCTTGTGAAGAAGGGTATAACAAGAGTAAACTTGTTCATTCTATTATGCGACATGTCGTCGAGACTTTGGATATCGATTTGGAGGTAATTCTTGCTTTTCTTCTTATCCTCATTTTTGCTATATTTATGGCTACTTACCGTTTGTTCATTTGGATATGAAGTACTTTCAGAGTTTAGCTATGGGCTTTTGGTAATGAATCGAACTAAATTTGGTTGTTTGAGGGGAATCAACTGGCATTAAAATATATACAAGTGATCCATCACTAAAGTTGTAATCTTGATTTCTTTCGATTAAGTGATGAATAGTTTCCTCCTACTTCAAGCTCTCTCTGCAAACTTGGTTTTGTTGAGCTCTTAATTATCTTTTACAAGTCACAACGTTTACAAATGTTGTTGGAGAAAAGAAAGAAATAAGCAAAGGAAAGAACTGGGAAAGAAAGGATTAAAAAAATTGATTTTATATCTCAACATTAAAATCACGTGGGAGGTAGCTAAAAAAGAGAGAGGAAATTACAAGGTAAACCATCCAAGTTGTAAAAGCTCAACCTTGTCTCTTAGCTTTCATATTGTTATGATCATGGCATAATGGTTTTATTAAGATCGATTTAGTCCCTAATTTTAGTAATTAAAAATTATATTGACTCCTAAAGTTTTTAGTTTTAACAATTGGGTCCCCAAATTATTAATTAGATTATAATAAGTTATTTTTATGGAGAGGAAAATTATTTGAAGTCGTATTTGTACGATAGATTGTCCATGTTCGTTAGAAAAAGATTGGAAGCTAGAAATCAAATTGGTGAGCTGGAATTCAAGAGTAATATTTTGGGTTTTGTTGACATCCGGAGTCCAATTCTGAAGTCCGTTTCGCCAAATTCAAACCTAGTAAGGTGTTTTTCACTGATTTATCACCTAATTCGATCCGTTTTTCGGAATTAAGCCCAGATTTTGATGACATTTCTATTGTTATGTATTTGAGAAATTATTGGAAGTTGAATTAAAAATCGAGGGCGTTCGAATGGAATTTAAATGGTTGATCAGTATGACACAGAAATCGAGGTAATACATTACTACCTCTTTATACTTTATGGAACATGTTGATAATGGATAAATACATAGATGTTTATGATTGGTCTATTATGCCTGTTTGATTATGGATGGTTTCGAACTGAATACGGTTTAAGTGATAAATTATGAGAATACTTCGATTAGGTAAAATTATGAAAATATCCTTATATTGTAAAAAGGCAAGAATTGACCATGGAATTTGGATAAGAAGTTTGTAAAGACATATTGATCTGATGAAACTACTAATGTGTATAAAAAATACTAGTTTTGCTTAGAAAATCTGGATAACCGATTTCTAAACCCAAGATGACTTGTACAAGATATTAAAAGTTTTGTTAAAGAATAATTTGGAGTTTAGAGATTATACGGAAAAACGATTAACCCCGGAATCTCTAAATTATAATTATCCTCGTTAGGAGCTAATACTAAAATTATTTTGTTAAGAAATTACCCTTTAGAGGTAAAAGTATCCTCAGTTGACCTGGAATGACAAAGTACCCAGGAAGTTATGCCTCCATCGTTGAATTATTGATTTAATTGTTAAGATCCTAGTTTTGTTCAGAAAATTTCTGATAATCCGTAAATCTCCGAGTTGTGAGTAAATACGTGAAGGATAATTTATCGAATGTGCTCCTTTGTCAGAATTGGTTGAAAAGACTGAAATAGATGATAAGTGCGGATTAAATAATAAGATCGAACAGAAGAAAATGATTGAAATATATTGTATCTGTAAAATGACCAAAATACCCCTGAAATGGAAATGACCAAGAATATCACCAAACTCAAGAATGATTGGATATTCCCGAGCTCTAAAATTAATGGAATAAAATTGAGCACCAGAATGACCAAAATACCCTTATGACCTAGACTAAGTAGAGGTGTTGGATTAATTAAGGAATCTAAGTAAATATGGGTGTTGTACTACCCTTAAAAGTTATGGAACACAACTTAAGTGAGCCGATCAACCTTAATGATATGCCAGTAACTGAATGGCATAGATATTACTTGAATGCGTGTTCGTCTTCTCAAGTTTGTCTCGTTGATAATTTTGGAATGTCTCAGCTCAGCCCAACTCTAAATCGTATTCAGTACTAAGAAGTGTATATTCGTTAGACAAATCAACCATGAAGACTAAATTGAATTGAACGAAGTACAATATGTATCCGAAATTCAGAAATGTCTGAATTACTCTAGAAAACTCTGAAGTAACTAGGATAGACTTGACTGCTAAATGAATTAAGTAACCTCAATGACTGAGGATTAAATAAGTGATTTGGATGAGTCTAAAAACACTAATGAACATACATGATGTAATGTTCTTATGGGTCATGAACCATAAATCAAGCACGTCAGCATTTCATTATATCATGGAAGCGTGAAAATGAAATAAAGACATTGGAAGATCTATTCATCGATGATTTCGAAGATGATCTATGAACAAGAATTTGTGGCATTAAAGAGTAAATACCCTAGAAGATTAATGAATTGACTAATCAACAAGCATTAGTTCTGGATCTATTCATCTAAGAGTTGTTCGATAATCCGATCAATCGACATAGATTGTAAAGGTCTTTAATCTTCGTTCTTCCTTATCAGCTCAAATCACTCTGGTCATGTATGAATAAGATATGATCCCGATAAATCACATTCTAAATAACGGATGATTCCGTTAGCTAATAAACTCTTCCAATAGTGATTCTAACTTCCAACATTCTATCGGTAAACTGAAGATCTGTGTTTCTCTGCCCGATATTATCCAATAACTCTAAATAATATCTGTAAACACTAGTGTGTTCCCTAATTACATGAATATTTTATCTGATTTCCGATTTGAATTTTGTTCTGATTTCTGATATGAATTTTGTTCTGATTTCTGATCTGGATTCTGTTTTGATATCTGTTCTGAATACTGTTTTGATTTCTGATATCTCCATTTACTGACGGAAAAATGTTTTAATTGGGGGGTATTTTTTAAGGAAGTATTTCTACAGGTTCCTCAACTTTGTGCTCAGGGCCTTACAGGTTGTGTGGGTTGGGTGTATGTTTTTGGGGAACCTACACAAATAGATTGTGAAAGGATGGGGGTAGTGTTATGTTTTTAAAAATATATTTTTAAAGATCTGTATCTTTTTACTGGTTTTGCAGGAACACACTAGACAACCTATTCTGATCTCCTGAACCTATTCTTCCGGTGTTGCTTGCAGAGTATGGTACATGTGATTAGGGGCATGTAATTGTATTTTGTTTTATATATATGAGTCTGAAAATCTGTTTTATTTATGCATACTGATAAATTATTTTATAAGTTACATGTTTTAATAAAAGTTTTAAATTTTTTGCTATTTTTATAGTGGATCGCTCCGGTAGCCCAATTGTGAGACACCAGATCAGATCGGGTTACCCGCATCGGTCTGAGGGGTTACAATGACGTCATATATAGGACTTTTGTAATGCGCTTAAGGAGAGTGGCTTTTCAGACATTGGATTCACGGGCTCTTGGTTCACTTGGGCGACAAGCTACTACGAACATTCAAGAGCGTCTTGGTAGAGGGGTTGCAAGGGCCACGTGGATGTCTTTAATTCTGAGTTACACAGTAAGTTGGATCTGGTGTTTCCATTTCCACGTGGAATGACTTTTGGCTTCCAATAAGTCCCCCACACACCGTGTTGAATGTGCCCGGAATAATTCGGTAGTGACTGTTGTAGATTTAATTGACCCGAAGTTAATCGCTTGTAAGGATGAGTTAGTGAGGGAGTTGTTTAATAAAGAGGAAGCAAAATTGATTCTTAGCATTCCAATCTCGCAGTTCCATCAGGATAACTGTCCAATTTTGAATAGCGAAAAGTCGGGCATTTACAATGTACGTAGTGAGTGTCGACTACTTCTTGAAGGTTTTGATGTGTCTCAACCTATGAAAGTCGCGCTTAAGTACATTTGGGCTTGCGCTTGTCAACGGAAAATTAAATTACAGGTTTGAAAATTCTTACAAAATTACATCCATTCTATGCAAAATTTATATACAAAACCTATCGCCCTTAACCCTCTTCTTCAGCCTAGGACATTTTAGAAGTGAGCGCTCTGATTTAGGAGGCTCGAAAGTGAGCCGAGTCTCTGCATGCATGTGTCTTTTGTTTCTCTCCACGATCAGGGAATGAAGTTGCTCACTGCAGATCGAGATCTTGGGACTAAGGATCGTTTTTGGGTTGAGGAAGCTCCCTTCCCCGTTGAAAGACAGGCGACCGAGGATAGACGTTGGATGGACCCTCCTTAGCCTTTCCGGGTCTGCTGCTGAGTTCATGATCCATTTTCCATGGATTCTTTGTGTTTTTTTTTATCAATGTTTTTATCCATTTTCTGGTGTTGCTTTTCTCCTTCTCCTGTCTTGCAGGTTTCTGATTCGATCATAGCAAGTAGCTTGAATTCTCCCTCTGTGTGTGTGTTTCAGATCCGAAGGAGGCTTTTACCCGAAGGAATTTTCTTCTTTAAGCTTCAGAAATTTTTTTAACCGTTAAATACCATATTGATACTAAGCTGAACTCTTCACTGGATTCTCAGATCTGAAAACCTCCGTTTCTTATGAAATACCAGTTTTACTCTGTAAGCTTCTCCTTTATATACATAGATTTGAATCTTTTTGTTATTGCATTTAGAAATCTCTTTTATTTGCATATCTAAACTTTCAGATCTATTTTGTTCAAAAGTTTTTTTTTAACGTTAGGCTTTCTTGCTGAGGTACCGTTTATGCTCTCTCTGATTCCATTTTTTTTAGAAAATAAACAATTTCAGTAGTTTATTTTTAATTCATATCAGATTGAAGTTTCTTTTTAGATCTGAACAGAGTAAAATCAATATTATTCTTTTTTCTTGCCTTTTAACACTAGACTTTTAGTAATAAAAATAAAAATAGTATTATATAAATTAAAATCCTATTAAGTAACCAACTAGGCTTCTTAGTACCCCTCAATTCTCTAGCGTTTTATTGGTGCAACTTCTTTCTGCTTTGATTTTCTTTTTCATAGTTCCTCATAGCTTCGGCTATAGATGATTACTTGAGGTCATGTCCTTCTTTTAGATCCCATAGGGCGTTTAGGGGGCGGGCCCGACAGAGTGGTGTCAAGGAGACTAGACTTAGAGTTTGTACGTTGAATGTAGGCACATTAAATGCTAGGCTGCTGGAGCTGACCGACGTACTAAGTAACAGGAAAATAGATTTTGCATGTATTCAAGAGACTAGGTGGAAAGGGGGCGCCAGAGAGTGTAACGGGTACAAGTTGTGGTATTCAGGCGTAGATAACGCTAGAAATGGGGTGGGTATCTTGGTATCCTCTAGGCTCAAGGAAAATGTAGTTGAAGTTTGTAGATACAATGATAGGATCATGATGATTAAGGTTATTTTAGAAGCGGAAGTGGTGAATGTCTTTTCAGTGTACGCCCCACACGTTGGCCTAGGGGAGGGGGAGAAACGTTGCTTCTGGGATTCGTTAGATGATGTACTTAGGAGCATTCCGGAGGATCAATGAGTTTTCATAGGGGGAGATTTCAATGGCCATATAGGTAGTGCAATCGACGGGTATGACAGTGTTCATGGGGGTTTCGGTTTTGGTAGTAGGAACGAGGAGGGGCGCACATTGCTTGATTTTGCTACTGCACACGATATGGTGGTCACTAACTCCTTCTTTAACAAGAGAGATGTGAACTTGATTACGTTCCATAGCGGGGGACATTGTACCAAAATCGACTACATCCTGGTTCGAAATCGGGATCGATGGCTTGCATTGACTGTAAGGTGTTCCCTGAAGAGGCGTGTGCATCACAACACAGATTGTTGGTTTTGGTGTTCCGCGTACGCCACGGGCAAAGCTGTAACCCCCCAGACCCGGTCTGTAAGATAGACCCAAACCTAAGCGGGTCACATATCCCATTCAGAGGTTTTTTTTTATATAACTTATAGAACGTTAAATATAATATAGAACATAATATTAATAATACAGATATGTCCAAAACGGTAATAAAATACATGTCACCAAACATAACCGAAAAACATATAGAAATATATGTTCGTACAAAATAAAGTAGTTGATTTCTCCTAATGCCAAATCTGCTAGCTTATGGTCTGCTATTATCTGAAAAAGGTTAAAATTTACAGAATGAGCTAAAAAGCCCAGTGTGTCCCATACAGTGTATAACATATACATAACAAAATAATTCAGATAAGATAAAACAATTTATCAAATATATTTTAATAACATGCACACTACCCCCATCCAATCACCAAATTGTGTAGGTTCACCTGAACCGTACACCGCCTATACACCAGTAAGGCTTAACCTATGCACAAAGCAGAGGAGCCTAGGAAAACTGTAAGGTTTATCCTTGCACACAGCAAAGGGACCTGGGAAACTGTAAGGCTTACCCTTGCACACAGCAAAGGGACCTGGTAAACTATAAGGCTTACCTTCGCACACAGCAAAGGGACCTGGGAAACTGTAAGGCTTACCCTTGCACACAGCAAAGGGACCTGGTAAACTGTAAGGCTTACCTTCGCACACAGCAAAGGGACCTGGGAAACTGTAAGGCTTACCCTTGCACACAGCAAAGGGACCTGGTAAACTGTAAGGCTTACCTTCGCACACAACAAAGGGACCTGATAATACTTCCTTCAATCGTACCCCAAATGACAAAATAAACATGTATGCATTGGAGTAAAAACAGTAATTAATCCATTAAATATAGAAATGTTCCATATTTAGAAATCATGTACCAAAAATACTATAACTATAAACCATATAAAAATTATACGGTAAATCAGACATTTAATAAACATTATTCAAAATACCGGATATTTCCTCATAAAGTATATTATATTCTCATAATATAAATCAGTTCGGATTTATAGTTTATAACTGTAAGATAACACTAGTAGGGAAACACACCTGTAACAATCTGAGAAATCAGATAGGGAAGCTTATTACTGGTTTTGTCGATCACGCTCTGCTGCAGCGCTAGATCCTACGAATTGGAAAAATCCTTATTGGAATTCTAATAAAAAAATAATCTTAATCTTTACTTAAATAATATACGGAAACCTACGGGTAGTTCTTGTAATACGCGGTTCGGACTGATCTGAAGAACGGACAACACCGGACATGACTGATCCTTGCTCAAGTGAAACACTAGTACCTCATAAAATATCTTACTTAATCAATTCCTTAACCATATCTCAAATAAATAATCAAAATACTAAAATACTGAGCCTTTTTGGGTTCACAAGCTTGATTCAGAAATTTTGGGTCAGAATTTGGTAAAACAAACTTCGAATCAAATTCAGGACGTCGAAAACCATAAAGTATGACCTTCCGAAATTTCAAATTCTTGGTCAAAATTAAAGTCAACAGGTTTGACTGACAATTTGGAGACTTTTGGGTTTGAATTTAGGGAAACGGACCCCAAAAACGAATTCGGGACATCAAAAACTGTCAGGATAGGTATTTTTGGAAAAGATTAACGGATGTTTAATAGCCGGTCAAAGCCGGACAAAGTTCTGGTCAAAGGAGGTCAACAAACTGTCAAACATTTTACACAAATAGCACCCTTTTTAAAATAATTACCAAAATAGCACCCTTTTTGAATTAATTCCCAAAATAGCACCAATCTGAATTAATTCCCTGAATATCACCTTTTTTTCAAAAAAATTACCAAAATAGCACCCATTTCAAATTAATTCCCAAAATAGCACAAAAATCGAATAAATTCCCAGAATAACAACTGTCAACGCTCAACGGGTCGGGTCAACGGGTCGGGTCGGGTCAACGGTTCGGGTCAACGTGTCGGGTCGTGACCGGTCAAACCGGTCAAAACCGGTTAAACCGTTTTCTATATTTCACTCGCCCTGCGGCGGCGCGTGTGGCGCTTGCGACGTCCTCCGGGGCTCTAAAAATCACGGAAAAATTTCTAAAAATTATTTTGAGCGATTTCGAGATACTTACAAAGATCGGTTCAAATTTTTGAACGGCGGAGAGCTCGATTTAGACTCGGCCGAATCTTTGACTGATCCACCTCCCCACGCGCCTCCGTCGACGGAGACCGAGGATGACACCGGCGGACTCGGAACGGCACAATGAACACGATGATGCGGGAGGTGTCGTAAATGGAGCAACGATCGACGATGAATTTAGGATTTTCTAGGCGATTGAGCTAAAAAAACGTCGATGCTTTGACTTGAAATTCACGGTGTTTGGCAGCGTTTCGCTTCAATTAAATTGAAGGGATTGTTCCTGACTCGATAACGAACACGATGGTGCTTTCAAAACAGCGATCGTAATTCGGACGGCTTCAGGATCGTCGTCGGAAGTTGAGGTAGGGGAAGGGAAATTTGGGCGTGGTTTTCTGTTTTGAAAACAGAAAACCACGTATTCATATATATAAACCAAAACATACCTAATATTTAAGGGTAAATTCAGGGCTTGGCTTGGTCCCTGAATTTTCTTTTAACTCTAAAACAAGCTACAAGTTTAAAGAACTTCAATTTAGTCCCCAAATTTCACCAAATTTCATAATTAACCTCAAATTTCAATTAAACATTATTTTGAAATTTTCGGGTTGTTACAATTCTCCCCCTCTACAAGAAATTTCGTCCTCGAAATTTACCTTATGAAAACAGATGAGGAAATTGAACCTCCATTGACTCCAAGGTCTCCCAAGTAGCTTCTGAGGGGCTACGATTACTCCATTGCACTTTGACCATTGGAATACGCCTATTCCGAAGAACTCGTTCATCTCTTTCTAAAACCTGAACAGGCTCCTCCTCATATGACAAATCAGGTCTCAGCTCTACCTCATCAACCTGAATGATGTGATCTGGATCTGGACGGTATCGCCTTAACATAGACACATGAAAAACATCATGAATACGACTGAGCTGTGGAGGTAACTCAAGCTGATAAGCAACATGTCCAACTTTCTTCAGAATACGATACGGCCCAATAAATCGCGGACTCAGTTTACCTTTACGTCCAAATCTCAATACCTTCTTCCTTGGAGATACCTTGAGGAAAACCTGATCTCCAACCTCAAACTCGATATCCTTACGTCGCTTATCTGCGTATGACTTCTGCCTATCAAATGCCTCTCTTAAGCGATCACGGATCAGTCTGACAGTATCTTCAGTCTCTCGAACCAAGTCTGGACCCAAAGTTTTTCTATCATGCAACTCTGTCCAACATATAGGAGTACGACATCTACGTCCATATAGAGCCTCATATGGTGCCATAC